TAATTCCTCTAAAGATTGCTGATCTATCGCTTCTTGTTGATTATTTCTGCTTGCCCTATCTTGCCGGTGTATCAGAGCGCATTACGTTTCCACATTTATGACTTGCATTTGTGTTTCTGAAACATCCTTCTGTTGTCTTTTGAATAGTTAATAGTTCGAAAAACTATCAGATATTTATAAAGCCAAAAAAGAATTTATCGAATACTTTCCGACTCTAGATTGAAATACTGACCTTGAAAGTTCGAGTTTCTGTTTTATCGACAAAAAAACTTATGAAATTTTATGTTAAACAGTGATTGGAGCTTCAGTATTGCTTCGAAAAATGCGTTTAGAAATGCGAATGCGATGATGAGTAACCGTGTTCTTCAAGCAACTGAAAAAAAATGCAATCAAAATTGTTGGATTTATAAAATCTTGGTGAATTTAGCAAATCTCGATACAGTTCTAATTTATTAGACTAATTCTCTTTGTTCCACTAATATCATACCTGATACTTTGAGTCTTCGATGGTAGGAAATGATATTAACAGTTACAGGAAGAAGAGAAATAAACAGCTGAAGTTGTAGAGTGGGAGATTGGATACCCGAGAAATGGCCTAATGTGGCACGGCTGAAACTTTGTGCAAATTGATTAGGTTCTGAATTATGAGCCTAATTGTCATTACGTTCAGCTATGCCAACATCTTGCCTTGTCCCGTGTCCCGTGATTCAGATAAGGTACACAGTAATACATCCTTTCTGTGACACACGGGTTGATGCTTCCATCTGGTGTTTTAAGGACAATGGAGATTGGAAATTCGAGAATTTCAGGATCAAGATGACTGGTTGACTAACTAGCTGACTGACTGACTGCTGATTGCCTAGACTGGATGGATAGTTCTTTTCTCTCCCTTTCGTTTGTAGAAACGGTAATGGGAGGAAGAGAGAAATGGTTGATGAAGAAAAGCGGTCGAACAATGGAGTCCTCAAAATGGCTGTCAAAATTGCAGGCAGTCAGTATTGTCGCCTCAGCCTGAGTATCTCCCAGAGATGGCAGAGAAAAGGTAACTAACTTTTATGATGATCAGCATGTACACAGATGTGATGTACATCTACCGATATGCTGATATGCATAGTACCGATATGCTGCATAGTTGCTTTTCTTTTTACCCCTGGCCTTCTCTATCTTTTATTTGCTCAGTTTTTCATCAGTTTCATCAACAGAACGGAATGACTGAAGAATGGTCAAAGTCAACTTAACCGAACTGAATCCCTTTCAAATGTTTACTGAACGACTCGACAACCATCACTAATTTCCTCCTTTCTTTACCCTCTACCTCCTCTTCCTCTTTGTATTTGTTTACCTCTGTAATACTCGGTACCACCTATCCATTAAATCTACCTGTATTACTTACTACAACTCTATATCCCCAGTATAGCTTAGTGCCAATCCATCATCCCTTCCCCTAATTTCAGCTTCCCTATAAGAATGCTTCAGCTTTTCGTTCTTTAAGAAAGAAAAAAACGAGTAAACAAATGTTGCTAACATTCTCCTCTTCAAAAACATCTATGAAGATTTCACAAACTTATTCAGAATTTAATCATTTTTTGTATCTTTTTAATCATGATTTTGATGAAGTTAGCAAGATAATAATCCACTTAACTATGATTTAATAGAGTTTTGCATTTGTTTACTTCTCACCTTTCTTTCCGAAGCAATTCAACTATTTTCTTCTTCCTCATTCCAATTTAACTTTTGCTAAACGCAAATTGACGACTTTTCAAAGTTTTGAACTACTTCTTCAACTGATATAATTTCTGTGCCAATCCTTACCATTTAATAGAACAATAGTTTTGTAGCATTCCTTCCAAGAGAACTGGGAAGGGGTATGCAACCATTATAATAGTTGTTGAAAAGAATAACGTTAATTAACGCCTCATTAATAACGCAATTGCTTGGATTCCACCTTTAAAAATCATTTTTTCTTTAAGAGTTTCACTTTTATATTCCATAAAAATTCAATCACAAGCTTTCTAAAGTTTATTTTCAAAGTAATTCTGTCAATATATAAACTTAACACGGGGAAGCGGCACATTTCAAACCGTTCGGATTTGCATTCAACGAAAATCAAAAAATCTAAAAGTAATCTGCAGATAAGAATCTGAAACTGAAGTTTTATTTCCGAAGATACACTGAAATATCATTTCCAAATTCAGTTGCACATTTGGTTTACTTTGATCCATACAAATGTACACTTATAGTATTTAAAGAAATTAAAAAATAAACTAAGTGAGTAAATAACCAGCTATATTCATTTGTAGCAAAAATCTATATAGAGAAACAACGAAAAACAAAGTTAAACAAAATGTTTCAATCATCATAATAATTTAATTATTTTAAATCAATCGCGATATTATTTTCCCCACGAGTCATTTAGTCATGCTGTTTCACCAGTAAAATTTTGATTTACCAAGATTATTTAAATTCATAAATTTCTAGATGATTTGAATTTTTACTTTTATTTGAATTTGTTTATCGTAATAGGCTACCAAAGAGTTCATCGTCTCTGATGACCTATTAAAAGTGATGCCTAAAAATGATGAGCTATCGAACAGATAACAAGATGTTGGTTGGGATTTTATGAAGTTGATTCTATCTTCTGTTGATTCTGGTTTTGTTTGCATGAATGATTGAGATGTGCATAGATCAAAATACCAATATCACGATGGCCATTTTCCACTGCAATTGATAAGGCTGTTGAACTATCCTAAAAATCTTGGCTAATTAATGACTTCTATTTAATGATCTTGGCCTTCATCATGATATTTGTGAAATTAGCTGTAGCTATCTTATTAGAATGAAGTCAACCGTTCATCTGCAAAGTGTTGCTTGCATAATGTTTATTGCGCGCTTCAAAATATGTTCCTTCTATTTGAATATTTAAATTTAAATTTGCGGGATGAGCTTGAATTTTGAATTAACCAAGTTATGAAAGGATAAATTATCAATAAATTGTAAAAGAAGTTGTTAAGATTGAATTTGGATTTTTATTAATTATTGAGTTATTCTGAGAAGAAAATGTTATCAAATAAATCAAGATTAATCTAGAATGTGTTTGAAAAAGAAATAACGCACACAATCTGAAAGTGAAGCATCAATATCCTGTTGTAGTAGCAATAATTTCACGATTTCTTTATGGCCGTGTTCTGCAGCACACATCAGTGCTGTGGAACCTTCTTCATCCTGGATTTGAAAACTATGGTACTTTTGAATTTACCAACAAATTAAAATTTTTCCATCAAAACTTGATCGAAAGTTTATAATATTTGAAATAAATTTCATAAGATTTTGTTCTGAGACTAAGGAAAGACACACTCGCTTTATTTTTTATGTAATGATTGATCAAACCTGTATATTGAGATCAGCTTGGCAATCAATCAATAACTTTGTCGTATTGATTTTGCCATGGGAAACAGCCAGCATTAATGCTGTCTGTCCGTGCTAAAACATCGAGATTTTTCATTGAAATTAGATCAAAACTTTAAGATATTTGGAACAAATTTCTAAAGTATTTTGTTCTGAGACTTAGTTTACTTTACTATTCTTGTAATAGAAAAACCGATTTTTCATAAATTACCAATGTCAATGAGGATGAAACAAATAACTTTCGACTATTTAAAAAGAAATAAACCTGAACAGCTTGAGCATTCACATCACCTAACTGAAACAGTCGATGAATAACGGCAGCCTCAACTTCATCGGTAGCATCACAGAGCGATGCAAGCATCACCGCTGTATATCCGGCCTAAATTTTTTATTTCAATAACTCTCAGTTGATTCAAATTTTACCCAACAATTAATGAATATTACAGCTAGTGAATCTTGATCTACAATCACTGTTATTCATTGATAACACAACCCGAAATTTCCATCCATTCAAGTTCACCAGCTGACCTTATTAGCACGATCCAAATTGCACACTCGCGAATCCAAAAGAACACTAACAACGTCGAAATTACCATGAGATATTGCATAATGCAGAGCAGTATTCTCCTGGGAAAAAAATCTCAGATTTAGATTTTAAAACTTTAATGCAGCCTGGAAATTTTAAACAGAATTTATAATTAAATGGCAGTGCGATACTAATTTAAATAATCAACATCAGAACCCCAGAAAAGATAAACACACTTTCTTCCAACTCTCTTCTTTCCTCTTTACATCTGGAATTTAAAAGAAAAAACTGATTAACATTAGGATCAGCCAGATTGATGATGAATTTAAGGACAGCATTTGATGCTGCTTCCAGGAAGTCAATAAAACCTTCCACTTGAATTGCTGATGCTGTTTTCCGAGCTGCTGTTTTCAACCATTCATGTTTGGCATGCTTCGTTGCCCAATCCTTAATGCTAACTCGTGATATTCAGTCAAATACAACAAGGAGAGGAACTAGGTGTTGAAAAAAAATTTTTTTTTGCTTGAAAAAACTGTGACAATTCCAGTTCTATTACCAGTAAAGAAGGTTCAACTGAGTCCAGCTTCTGGAAGTGTTTCTTGAGAATTTCGATCGCTTCACTAAGCTGTGGTGTTAGCTCAAATTGGGCAGCTCTACCTGCCTCGTTTGTATCGTATGAACCTTCCGAATCGGAAGATGAACTCGTACTGCAAATAGTTTGCACTCCCTTATTTTACTTTTATTCCCCCTGACAAGCGGTGCTTTGATCAAGAATGTTTAGAAGAGCCAAGTTTTAAACTGTGACTTAAATTGAAAATTTCTTGAACACTTTTAGTTCTTAAGCTGTGTTATGAGGTCTCACAAATAAAGTAGTCACCTGTCTTCGAAAATAACTGGATTGTTAGATTTGCCGTAGGTTGGGAGAGATATCCTAGGCAGTGCGTTCTTCAGGGGTTGCGCAGGTCGGGAAAACGTCACTGTTCGTCCGTTAGAATACGTTCGTAGAGTACGCATCTCCGAACGTAATGGAGTCAGTCGATCGGCTATTTCAGCTTCCTACAGAAATATGGTTATTCATGAAAGTATGATCTTTGAGCCTTCAGAAAATGTGAACAATTGCAGGAATATTTCTCAGCATTTATTTTATTTCAGAATCTTATTAATTTTATTGAAATTAAATTTCGATGAAAAAAGGACAAACTTCATCGGGCGATTGTGGTACAGTTTCTCCAAGAATGTATTTGCTGATTTTGGGTCGTGGTATTCGAGCTGGGACCGGTTCCGGGACTTTCGATAATGGCATTTGTGGCGGTACATCTTTTTTAAGATTAACTTTTTCTTTCAAGGTACCTTTTGTTGTTTGAGGTGTTGAGGAAGCCGAACCGGCCTGAAGCATGCCTTACTACGGATGGTTATACAAAAAACTGCGAAATAAAGAAGAAAGTTTTATTGTTTTTCTCCATCCTCCCAAGCATTATCTTGCAGCCGGAAGAGTGCAATTCGTTTTTCATTCCAATGAAATAAATCAGATCACACATTTGGTGGAATTGAAGAGAAAACAGCTAGTTCAGTTGGATTTTATTTTAAATTAACTTGTGCAAATATTGACAAAAAAATTAGTCGTTATTCAAAAATAGTAAACCACGGGGAAATCCAAATAGCACTTACTTTTGCTTTCTATTCAAGCCTAAGCAAGGTTCACTTAGCTTTTTTCGTCAGTTTTACAATTCATGTTTTCTTAATTATAAAATTATTAAAAGCATATAATGATTCATTGAATTTACTTAAAAAATTTCAATCGTTTGGTCAGGAAGACCTTTTATCTTAATTTTACTATAATTAAGATATGCCAAGTAATTAAATGTTAATGTTAAATGTTAAACTCTGAATTTGCCTGTGTTTTGTGCCGATCAACAATGTATTGAAGCGGATCTCCTTTTTTAGTGGTTAATCGCCAAGATTTGGATGTCGCCGTACCACGAATGAAACTTAATGGTTGTGATTTTTCAGTTAGCATTTTTTTAACTATGGCTGCACGCGCGTGACCCAGTGCTCGAGGTGTTTTGATCTCTTTGGCGACTTCACTTGTAGTTTTAATGTTTAAATTGTCTACAATACGTTGTTTTAACAACTGCTCCGCAGACTTCGAACTTTCGAAATCGATATCTTCTGGGTCCGATAATGTTTCTTCGACTACACAAATCTTCAACAAGCAATGATTAACTTGTCAACGTATTATAATATAATGAATTGTAAAAATTTCAATCTCCGTGGAAACTTTTCAATGTAATTAAGGTATGTTAAAGTATATACGAAATGTGCATCCTTCAGAAAGTTTATGGTATCTTCAGAATATAAAAAACATTGAAAAAGTTTACTGTATCGTCATCATCGCTATCCAACATAAGTTCCCTGCATAGAGTGATGCTGTCAGATGTTTCATACACCTCGATTACATCATCCTCATTACCCACTGCTACATCCTTTCTGTCTCTAGGTGGAATTAACCAGAGCGATTCTGCTATTTCAGTATCATCAATTATTCGTGGCTCACTTTGCTCCGGTTCTGCAACGCATTACCATCTGATTATTTCTGCACCGTTTATTAATACAACATCCCATGCCATTGCTGCCAATGATTTTTTTTTGAGTTTTTTATTACCTGTCTTCTTTGTTCGTACTTTTCATGTTATGCTTTGATTTGCTGAGTTGACAAATAACTTGAACTCATTGAAATAGATAATTTACAATATATCAGTCAAGTAATATATTGAAAAAGTATTTTTGTTTATTAATCATTGCTTATCAGTGTATTCAAGTACATTCAAATAGTTTGCTCAGAATGTAAATTATTGATTAGCATAGTTAGAATTACAAAAAAATAAATTAAAACAAACCAAACTCCGTTTGCAGCGCAACAGTACTGCAACATATTCTTTGTCGTATTTCCTTGCCGTTGTTTAATTCGATATCCATTTCGGTGACAGCATCAGCAACATCACGTCCCATTAATTCATCGCAAACTGTGTAAGAATCTTTTTGAGTTATCTGTATGGCACTATCACTTGGCAAATTTACCGGTGATGTGGAAATGCATACCGTTCTGTAAAATTGTCAACTGAAGTGAAAAGCCTTCAAATTTCATTTGGAACAAACAGTTTCAAACAGTTTAGATGTTTAAACTTTAACTAATACCAATGTTACTTCTACAATATGATATATAAGTAAATGAGCTAAGGAATTACTTTAATGAACTATATACATTGCTAGTGGAAAAAATAAAATATAGAGCCTAGCAAAACACGGCAAAATTACTCCGAACTGTGGTAAATATATGAAAAATGAGCTACCTCGTTTTGATTTGCTCAGTTTGAATGAGGCGTGAATGGGATGTGATCGGAATAGTCATCGAGGAGGAATCTTTGAGCAAAGAAACAGCTTGTTTACTCCCAGTTCCTGAGTCAACCAATTCAATAGCACCCGTCATACTCGAAAAATCACACATCACAGTAAATACATCATTCCGACAGCCATGATCTATTCATATATGAACTCGAAAGTATGATATTTGAAAATTCACCAATTTTATTATAATTTATCAGTTCGACTTATCTCAAAATTACTAATTTCATTGTTAAAGTGTAAAATTTTTAAATGCAATTAAATCCGTTGCTCGATTTTTCCCCATTGTTCTCCTTCTACTTCCACTTATTGTCATTCTTATTCTTCGCAAATGGTTTATCATGAATCACTACTGAACAAAACAAATGCATAAAATAATAGTTGATTTTGAAACCTTGAATAGTTTTGAATTTTAACAGTCGTATCACTAAATTTGTATATTTGGAAGTATCGCAATTCACCTTTAACGACCATCGCTCCAGTATTACATTCAAAATGACATTCTGTTGTAACTCCAATCGAATGGAGCTGTGGTTCTGGAACAGGTGAACTGGCGATATCTTTATACCACCGCATTTCGACTTGATCTGCCAACGATATACTTGTCCTCTACAAATTATAATTTCCTTATTAATTTTGAATATCCGGAATTTTGTTAAGTAATATTGGTGACAAGGAAAGCGTCTGAGATCAACAATCATATTAACCAAAAATAAAAATAGATGAGCATTTAATTTAGGAAATTAGTGAATATCACAGTACGAGAATATTACTCGCCATCCGAATATTCTATTTCCTCTCGAAAAACTGACTAGCAATAATTAACAATCATATCAGCATGAATAAAAAATACTTATTAGTTACTTCTACTTGTCAGTGATCTAGTGATATTAGCAAATTTAAGGAAAAAACCGCTTATGTGAAAGTGTACACAATGAATATCATTACTATGTACATTTTGATAATGATAAGATGATATAAGCAAACAGATTGCTGTATACGATTTTACAGAGAAGAAATTTCATTTGATCAAAGTTAATAACCTTATCATCAACTTCGATCAGCAACGCATCACTGGCAGTGTCTTTCTTTTCCACCTTTATCCATTTGGTAATTGTATCATTAAGTATTTCACATGAGCCTCCAACACTTTTATCAATAACAACTATCTCTTTTGTCTTCCTCATTAGCTCTCCAACTGATTTACTATTCATTTCATCCGTTGCTTGTTTCAATCTGAATTCACTTTATCAGTTTAGAAACATAATTTGTGGTGTACAGTATGATACATAAAATAAACTAACACAATCAAATCGATTAACAATTGTCTAATCTATCCGAAAACGAATATTACAGCACATTTTTGGCGCTAAAGCAACTCTCCTACCTCCCTTCTTACTCATTTATTCTTTACAATATCTAGTCAAAATTAATTAGGCCGATAAGTGTACTTAAAAGTAATCAATATCTTCTGGCGACAATTTTAACTTAATCAAAAAAAAAAGACTGATGAAATACGTTATAAGAGGATGGTGTACATGAATGGAGACGACCTGCATGATAAATCAGACAGCTGTTTTTGCAGATTGCAACATTGAAAGCATACTCTTTTGGCACTAACATCGTTATTAGGATCTTTTGAACCTACCGCCAGTACATCCCCATTCGCTAATTGCACACTGTCATTTTCGATAAACCTGCAAAAAACTTCTCATGCTCAATACTCCGAAGAAGAATGATAAAATATAAAAATTCAATAAGGTACAAAGAAGAACTTCTCAATTAGATTAAGTTCAAGCAAAAACCACTTTAAGTTTAACTGCTTCGCAATTTATTTGTATCTAGTTGATAGTTTAAGCAACAAATCAGAACCATAGGGTATCGATTTTTTTAACGAAATTGATAAAGCAGTAGTGAAGATTGCCATTCAATTTGCAAATAATTATGCAAATTTAAGCACTGAATGCGATTTATTACATGAACCTTACCCATTTGAAATATTTTGCATACATGTTGTTGTGGTTGTTTTCACGTCGCTCGAATTCTTCGAAGTTATATATTTTCCGGTTATTGGAAAATTTAATGACGAATGAGATGGTGAATTTCGATCACGTCTTAATCGTTCCTGCAACTACAAAGATGACATCAGAAAATTTTGAAATTTTCTTCACAGGAACAACTATTCAAATAAGATAAGACATTGTTTCATTGTATATTTTGAATAATTAATGGAATTAACATAGTCTTGAATGGATTTCTTAGAGAGAGAAAAAGACTGAAAGCAAAAGAACATCCCTAACAATGTCTTATCAAATTAATTATTAGTAAAGTTTCATCTAATCACTTTTCACATGAAAATTTACAGACCAATTCGAAAAAAGAAAAAAAACTTCATATATATATTTGAAAAGGAAAAAAAAATTAGTAAATAGACTTACTGAGAACAATGAGCAATTTCTTGGATAAGGTATGGGTGGAACAAGTATCGATTTAGGATCCGCATTGAAAGCTTTATCATCGGATTTTCGACGTCTCATACTAACGAATCCGTCTATGTCTACAGCACTGGATGACCGCTCGACCGATGAACGTATCCTCCACTGCGGTTGGTGCATTGATTCTGTATCACTCGGATACTGATTAAGTGATGAAGTGAGAGTGAATGAACGTCGTGGCATGTCCGGAGTTCTACTGCCCAAATAATGGGCCTTACCCTGCTCGTACAGTGAACGATTATATTCCAACTGTAAAAAAAGAAAAATAAACAAATAAGAAAAAAATGAGCAATTCTTTAAAATTTCTTCAAAAACTTGAAATTTTTCGGATTAAAAATTGTATTTAAGTTTCAAAATCAAAAAAAAGAAAAAGATTGCTAAGAACGAGTTATAAAAATCGCTTTTTTCAGATCCAATGGTTAATCGAATTTCAACAAAGAAAGGATGAAGGATGAATTATTATTGATTTTTATTTTGCTGCTTTTTTTGAGAAATTAACCGCATTATAAAAGCAATCATCTCTAAAGCACTCATTTCATCATAAAAAAGCTGTCAAGAGAAAGACACTTCTTGGGATAAATCGATGTCGTAACTTCGACTTTCCCCATTCCAAATATTCTGTATTCGAGAGCCATTTGTTGTAAATAAGGTTTTTCGGAATCCATCATTGAGTTCATCGTTCTGATGCTTCGATTTGATTTCTGATATCGCTCTTCCCAAAGCAGTATGATATCCTGCAGAAAGTGCTTGTTTATTACAATGGAAAGAGTGGAACATAACAAAAAGACAATAAATTAAATGATTCTTCTTGTCCACTTTCTTTTTTTTTTTTTTTTTTGTTTCATTTGGGTTCGTGCGTAAACATTGACACCGAAAGTGGAGAGTCAATAGAATTGAATACATATATACGTGATACGTGAATACATGAACAATAATAATTTATGGAATGAATATGCATTGAATTAAATCTGTGAGTAAATGATTATCAACATTGGAATTGCTTTATCATACTTCATCCTTGATAAAGCATTTTATTAGAAACATATCAACAATTCATTCCTTTAAATCATTATTCGTTTCAATAAAATACATATAAAAATGGTGCGTAGCGTGATTTGCACACGCTTTTTCAATATATTGGTTGTTAGTTTCTGAGTTTAAGGCTCCATTAATAATTGCAAACGGTGAAAAATACCCTAAGGTCTACATGGAATGCAATGAGATGTATAGTGACGCTTTATCCAACCGGATTAAATAGTATTTCGACGAAGAGAAAGCTTTAGCATACTGACATATTAGTTAATTAATTAGATTAAAAATAATCTATATTACCGTATTGTTGCACCTCAGGAATAAATAGCGGTTTTCTTGATGATGACGCTGCATCTAAAAAATAATTCATTTAGGTTATGGTATAATACCTAAAAGTAAAAGACTTACCATTATTAGCTCAATTTTCTTGGTTTAACTTTATGGGCGAAGAGAGCATAATGTTATGAAGCTGTCCTGTCAATTAAGTTTTAATTAAGATACATAAATTAGAACAAAACTTTGATTCACTTTAATTCGAACAGAAACAAACCGTTGTACAAATTTATAAATGTTTGTGACCGGTTAATGTTCAGAAATTCAGTTGATTTTTTCTGGATATTCACTTTTCTTCACTTTTTTTCTTCACCATAACCATTACAAAAATGTTCGGGAAGTTTAAAATCCCAATCTCCTGTTAAACTGTGGAAAAATGAAACAATGCCCTTTATGTATTCCTAATAGGTCGTCTGTCTCTCGCCCAAGATCTAAAGTTTGGGTCGTTTCTCTGTGTGTTACTGTTTCATCGTTTTATAGTTTATTAATCATTTCGCTTATCCATATCTGACTTGTATAGCCAGATTTTACCCATATTTTTTTCTTCAAAACTTTTAATTTTATTAGAGGATG